GTGCCTTTAACATTTCTCCTTGTGACTCACATTTGCTAATAACAACAGAGGGCTGTTTTAGTTCTGTTTTTAGCAACAATGAGGTTATTAGCAAGCATTTGGTCAGAAGGGTTTGTTGTTGGTTTTTTTTTCGTTTCCTCCACATGCAAAGAAATTTTTAACATGTAAGAAACTGAAATAAACTGAGACTAAAGACACAGTAGAAAAATGCAGGGCATCATTACGGTCACACATTGCTGTCAGCAGAAAGTGGCTGGTAACCAGCCAGGCATCGGGATGCCTTGTCCCCTGAGCTAAGTTTGGACCAGACACCCACTTGACTTCCTGCCTGAGCGTCACGTCGCTGCTGGCCACAGAAGGAATTCCAGTCACTCCTGATTAGAGAGAGACCACATGTCCGTACTTTTAAAGACAGGTGACGACAGTACTCTGCTAAAAACCTGCTTTTCAGCACCTCCCGTCCTTCTCTGGATGCAGGAGCTGGGAAATTCACTCTCTTAGACTTCCCTGAAGCCTTCTTGCTGCAGAAATAGTATGTGAGGGGCAGCAGTAAAGACAATTTGAAGAAGTTATCTCCTCCTCTGCAGATGTTGACTTGTCAAAAGAAATCTTACTGTTACATCCAAATTCAAACTATCTACCTATAAAGCAGCTAAGACTGCAAAATGAAACATCTGAGAGCTGGAAAATGCGTGAATTAAGGCTGCTTGTGCAGTTTTGTCTTCTTTGCGCACATTCTTTATGACATATTACTTAATTGCACAACCACATGCCATACTTCTACCCTCCTTGTAGTAGTTAGGGAATACTCCTTCTTATCAATGATCCGAGGGCTGGAGCACCTCTCCTATGAGGAGAGGCTGACAGAGTTGGGGCTGTTCAGCCTGGAGAAGAGAAGACTCCGAGGAGATCTTATTGCGGCCTTCCAGTCCCTAAAGGGAGCCTACAGGAGAGCTGGGGAAGGACTTTTTACTAGGGCATGTAGTGATAGGACGAGGGGAAATGGCTATAAACTGGAAGAGGGTGGGTTTAGATTAAACATTAGGAAGACATTTTTCTCTTTGAGGGTTGTAAGGCACTGGAACAGGTTTCCCAGAGAGGTTGTTGAGGCCCCATCCATGGAGGTGTTCAAGGCCAGGCTGGATGTGGCCTTGGGCAACCTGGTCTAGTGGTAGGTATCCGTGCCTATGGCAGGGGGGTTGGAACCAGATGATCTTCAAGGTCCTTTCCAACCTAAACCATGCTATGATTCTATGATTCTATGATATTCTTTTTTCAATGTCTTTTTTTTTTGTTACACCTCATCTAAATAGCCCGAACTCCTGCAATAGGCATTTCCCTCTGACTATGCCTATGGTACTCTCTTCATAGAATCTCAATATTCTACAAATGTTGAGAAACTTAATTTCACAAGATCCCCCAGGAGAGAAAGCAACGGTATAACTGGAGTTTTAACGGTGATCACATAAGGCATCTAGAGATCAATACCAAAACCTGTTGACCGTCTCCTAAATTTGGAGTTTTAGCTTGAGACACCAGGACAGTGACATCTTTCCACAGAACTCAGCAGTTCTCTCTTCAAAGAGCAACACACTAATTTTCAGGCGTGTATGTGACTATTTTGAACAAGTGCAAACAGGGTCACAGAAGTTCCCCTTTGACACTCAGGAAACAAACAAAAGCTGGATGTGACTTTGCAAGTCTTGCATAGAAACCCTAGAGCAGAAGCAGGGATAAAGTCCAACTATCAAGGACTGCACTCTGTTTCTCTACTCATAAGAACCTTTCATTTTTTCCCCTGCAATTTCCTGCCACATTTACACCTTGCTGAAGTATTACAAACAGCATCCTCACAGAATCTGGGCTTTTTGGAGATTAATGTCCTACTTGCACGCTGAATGAGGCAGGGACCTTGCAGCAATCTTAGCGCGTGATCCCCTAATTAGAGACAGCACCAGGAGAAGAACAAGACCATTTCTATTAGCCAATAACTTACTGAGGTTGTGCTGCTCCAGGACAACTTGCAAAATCACATGAAATTTCCGGAACACTTTCAGCTGCAGAACATGATCTAAGTTTAGACAACAGGCACAGTACTTCCCTTCTAGTCAATCATTTAAGGTTAGGCTTCCTATTCACTTTCCATTTCTAGCTACAATTTACACTAATTCATTTCACGGACAGGCTCACTAGATCTCAATTTTATCCTTCTGGCCCCTCCAACCCACTGAAACTGCCCAGTGGCTGACAAGGAGGACCTGACACGGAAGGAGCAGTGCCAAAAAGATGCTGCTAAAACTGAACAGAAATTACAACTGCTGGTAAACATGAGTAACCAAAAATAAAAATTGATTTTGGCAGTTGATTTTCCGAAGAAATAAAAATAAGTTCTACTAAGACTGCTTGGAGAAGAATGTTCTAACCACAAGCTATATGACATTCCAGCTGTTTTGATGCTATTTCACTTCATATAAATGCATAACAATTTTCATTGAACCACAAGGAAAGTCTAAGAAGGATTTTTATAAGGTCCTGATCAGGGCACTCAGTTGGGAAATGGAAGCTCTTGGTTCCACCTCATGCTCCAAAAAATGTTTAAATATTTTTCCAGAATCAGCCTGAAATGAAAAACACCCTGCCACAAAACGCTGGGGCAGGAGTAGGGGAGGTGAGGGTATCCAGTTCCCAGAAGGAAACTCATTTTCTGGTACTTTGGGTATTTGTTTCCAAGAGCAGAGGCAGTAACAACCCCCTCTGACCCATAACTAAGACAAATATTTTGCCAGCTAAGCTCTGGTGCATCTTAGTGCAATGAAGACTGAATCCTTCCCTTCATTTACACTGCTTTCAAAACGCTCTACAACTAAGGAAATCCTTTGCCTCTTTCTTTTATGATTCTGTTTCCCATTTCAGTTTGATATGAATCAAAATAGCTGTCAGTTTGGCATTCAGGCTGAAAAATAAATTATCTAAACAGCTCCAGTCATAATATCTACATATAAGACAGGTCAGGCTTAATCCACCCCCCTGAATTTGAATGCTTGATTTGCACCTTTTAACTTTTTAGCTCTTTTTTCATTGTATTGTATGTTGTCCTATCTATATAAAGAAAATAATATATTTCCTTATAGACAGAGAAATCAGCACTGGACCTCTGCAGTCATAACACAGACCTCCTCTGTCCAAGCTAAAGGGATAACCAGTAGCTGCAGCAGCAGGACGTCATTCCTGGAGTAGGATCTAGTAGATGGCAGTGAAAGAAATGCACAGGCAGGTTCCGTTATTTGTAAATAGCTGATGGTTTAAATGTCTCCTTGGACTGGGCTGACTGGGAACCAGCTCCAGCTCTCATTACTTGGTGGCACCATTACAGTTCTTTCTTGAACGATTCCTCTGCGTGAAAACTGTCATGAAGCTCTCAGGTGCTCAAAATTAATCGGTCCAACGAGCAATTCTTGACACTGTTGAACCTCTTTCTTTATGCCTTGTTTCCCATAATACTGATGCACTTTAGAGGTAACTTGAATAGAAAAGACGACCTATACCCACCCAAAGCCAGTGACACTAACCTCTGTCATTAGAGTAAGGAAACACAGAACAGGCTTTTTTGATTTATATGGAGTTGTTCTATTAGCTTTAGGATAAGTACATGATTTTACACCTTTTTTAATCCAGGCTTGTAGCTACCTTCTTGTGCAACTGCAGCCCACACTTGTACTGTTCTAGGGGAAAAAATAAAATTGGACTTATCAGCATGCCAGTTGGGCATCAGGTTGGCAAAGCATGTGCCACAGCAGGGCTTGTTGGGGTCAACTGACCAGCCCTTAGAGATAAATGAGATCCAAGGCGGGGGATCTTCAGCTATAGCCAGAGGCCTGTTAGCTGCAGAAAAGGTTAGGCGAGCTGGGGAACTTGGAACTTTGGATAAAGGGAATGGACACCTCCAGGTCTTTTTTCTTCTTGTCACTTAGTCTCTGATTGGAGTAAGGAATTTCTAGGTGTCTCCAAGCTTTCTGTAACAATGAATCCTGAACTCGCATGTCAGCCAACTGATACCTGGGTGTGCATGAATCTATAGGGTCTGTGTGTTCATATGTAGGGTGAGTTCATCACTATTTATCCTTGCATACACACATAGAAATCCTATACACGCATGTAGAAAATTATATATAGAGAGGAGGTATACACCTCCTCTCTAGAGAGGTGTGTATATCAGTTTATAGCAAATATATATTGGTCACTTTTTATTGAGTCCAGTGCCTGTGTCAACCTGCACTTTCACATCTGAGTCAATGACTTCAGGCACCTTTCGGGAAACAGAGATACAGCAACTCTGAGTGTGGCCAGTAGGTCGAGGGAGGGCATTCTCCCCCTCCACTTGGCACTGGTGAGGCCACAACTGGAATACTGTGTCCAGTTTTGGGCTCCACAGTTCAAGAGGGACAGGGAACTGCTGGAGAGAGTCCAGCGAAAGGCAACCAAGATGACTGAGGGATTGGAGCATCTCCCTTATGAGGAAAGGCTGAGAGAGCTGGGACTCTTTAGCCTGGAGAAGAGAAGGCTGAGGGGAGACCTTATTATTGCTTACAAATATCTAAAGGGTGGGTTGAAGGAGGATGGAGCCACACTCTTCTTGGTGGTTCCCAGTGACAGGATGAGGGGCAATGGGCACAAATTGGAATATAGGAAGTTCCGTTCCAATACACGGAAAAACTTCTTCACAGTTCGGGTGACAGAGCACTGGCACAGGCTGCCCAGGTGGGAGGCTGTGGAGTCTCCTTCTCTGGAGATCTTCAAAACCCGCCTGGATGCAGTCCTGAGTAATGTGCTCTAGGCAATCCTGCTTCAGCAGGGGAGTTGGACTAGATGATCTCTAGAGGTCCCTTCCAATTCTGAAAATTCTGTGATTCTGTGAATTCAGATCCAGTCATACAGACAAACTGCATATCTAAATGAGAAAAAATTACAGGTAGTCATAGTTAAAGTAAAGAAATACCCACCCATTCAGGAGTATGAAGGTTTTGCTGATCCGGCACAGTTCCATAAGTGGGAATAATCACTTGGTTCAGTTCCAAGACTAAAAATAAACATAAAAAAATTAAAACATTTTAGCATTTTGTGCGGTAAGTGTTTTTGGGTTTTTTTGGGGTTTTTTTTTGTATTTTATTAATGGTTTGTGGAGAAGCCACGCTTCAGAAATTGCACTTATTTAGTGTTTCAGAGACAGAATGTTTGTGGCTCTCACTTCAATTATGATCAGCAGGTGGCAAGAGAGCAAACCATAAATTTCACCAGGATGACAAGCTAATGCTAGGAGAGCATCCTGACCAAGCTACAGTGATGCAAAGCATCCCTTTGCTAGTATGTGTTATTTAGCATTTCAGAAACTCTAGCTACACTCTAGCAGTAGTTACGTTTATCTTTCAGTTAATTAGGGTACCAGAACTGGCTCCACCTGCACAAATAACTCCAGCTCAAGCTGACTGTACTTGTCAGACAATAACAAATAACAGTACCAGAGAATTCTTCAGAAATCCTGGAACAGGTGTGATACAAGCAGTGATGCATTCACTCTATAACAGGAATGATTTTCACAGAATATAATAACACACCTACAAGTTCAATGTGTATTGATGTCCCAGTGACTCCTCACCCATTTCACCAATATCTGTTAAAAACCAACAACCTGCAAACTGAATTGCTTTCCTGAAAATACCGCATAAAATAAAAGTGATCTTGTGAAGTATGCTACTCCATGATACCATTATCAAGCACGCTGGGAAAACTGACCACCAGACCAAGCACTGGATGAACACATAAATTCAGCCTAACAAAGCTGCTGGAAATAAATTACAGAAGCTCTACAATTGCTGCAAGGTATTGGGTTTAGTTTCTTAACAAATATTTTTGGGTCTTAAGAAGAAGTCAGATAACATCCTGAGGCTGAAGATAACATCAAGTGGCTGAAGGGAGGAGGCTGCTTTCCGCCTATGCATGGCAGGCAGACGGACCCCATGTGTTATTTTTAGATCCTTAAAATAGAGAGGTGTCTTAGCCAAATCTGTCCTGCACTGAGGAAAGGGTCACAGATATCAACGGTACCTAAATGCCAGTGTTGTCTAGAAAGAATAGCCTCAACTTACCAAAAAATACTATAATACTAAAAGAAAATCACCAAACTCTGCTCTAAAATAGTCTATAGTACTCTTGGAAGGAAAGCTAAACACCCATTAGATACAATGCCAGGACAAACATAACTGATATGCCTGTTTGTTTTGTTTTGTTTTGTTTTGTTTTGTTTTGTTTTTGGGGGGGGCGGCGGCGCAGCTTAAAAGCTTCAATAATGTGTGGCCAAATTCTCAAGAATTTTTAGGAAGCTTTTTTTTCACTGATGATGCTCATTTATACCAGCTGAAGCTATGTCAAAACACTTAGAAATGGAGCACAACAAGACTGCTCTTTACAAATCAGCAGAATTCTCTCATGGCCTCTAAGCAGCTGAATTCTCTAGTTTAAATAATCTTTCATAGAGTTTGGTAGGGACTTTCTTCCAGATGTTGAGCTGTCAGTTTCCAGATCTCTACTGCGGTGATAGTGTATACTCTGGGGAGGAGACAAAAGCACATCCATGAATATTTCCATCAACGTCACTTCAGAAACATTTGAGTCAGAACCCAAAGGTTGGCCCAGTTGAATAATCAAAGTGCACGAGGTCTCAGAAGCATTAACATCTTTAGAAATGTTTGCCAGCCTTTAGAGGGAGTGCAGGAAAATGTGGACTAGTGCAGCACACAAACATCACATGCTGAGACCATAATATGAGGACTCAGAAAACACGAGCATATCCCAGCAGCTCCTGCAAGATTGCTGTATGTGCACATCATTATTTTTTAATGGGTTCAGCTCAGACTAGTGTGAGAAGGGCAAATACATATCCTTGATGTCAGCGTAACCGGCATCACCCTACGTTCCTTAGGGCATTCTGTGTTCTCTATCTCGACACAAAGATACGCAGATACAAAATGCTTCTGAAAATCCACAGAAAAGGGAATGTTTCTACCCACATATGATGGGGAGGGTGAAGGAGAAATATAAGCACCTTGCTTTGAGATATAAACATCTGCTCTAAAATTCTGTGCACCATTACACAAAACAAGCGGATGAGGACACAGACATGAAGGCTTCTGCCAGCCACTGAACTGCAGTAACGAGAATCATGAGTTAAAATGGCCTTTTTGCTCAAGTCCTCATGATGTGAAACTACCCACCCCTCATCAGTGCTGCCTAGAAATCCCTTCAGCCAGAACTGAAGAGAAGGGGGAAACGTGGCATTCACAGCAGGATGGATAACTCCAGTTCTCCCAAATCCTGATGGATCTGGGGCTGGCCAGGAATACCCTCTAGAGAGATTTATATGTGAGTACAACTTGCTTCTGCCTCAGTGTCTCTTCCTCACGATATCGTGAGTGTCACACACTTATCAGTATTTAGCATCTTAACACATTTTTACTTGAAGTACTTCTCAGTACAGTCCCTGCGCCATTGGTCCAATGAAAGGACTCATGCAAAAGGGACCTGCCACTCTCACTTCTTACGGGACATGAGCCCAGAACTTCTCTCAAATTAAATACAGATTAATGTTTGTGCGAAGCCAAAAATACAAAGCTTTGACACTGCCTGAATGTATACTTAGATAACATTTGTTCTGGCAGTGATTTGCAAGGACAGCTGTGCCAATTTGTGCAGTTTTTACCTGGAAGAGACCACTCTAGTCTCTCAGAAATACAAAAATGGTACCTGCAAAAACTCAGCTTTACCAGAAAAAGCTGCACCCACACATAGTGCTTTTCCTGCCCCCCAAAATCACTTCATTTATTTCTCCCACCTCCCCGCCAGCATTATGGTAAAGCCAGTTTTAAGTATGGTGGACAAGAAAGAAAATTGCAGCACATAAGTTAGGGGCTGGACATCAGGAAACACTTTCTAACAGCAAGAACAGTAGCAGAGCCTGCCTGGGAAGGCAGGTGAGGTCATGTGAGGTCTTCAACATCAGCGATTCTTCAGTACAGATTAATTAAATATCTTGGAACAATCTAGGCCAAGTTGCATCTGGCATGAACCTTAGGAGGACGGCCTAGATAAGCTTTTGAGGTCCTTTCCAGATTCAGTTTCCTCTGAGTTCAAGTCTTGTCATAGTGTTCTCATAGTTATGTCCAAAAAAGACCATTGTGCTGAGATTTTATATTAAAATAATAGTTCTGCTTACCGATTTCTTCTTCTCTTCTTAATGTTTGGGTCAAAGCACATCAAGTATAGATGCTTTTGTTCTACCGCTCAGCCAAGTAAAGCAAAGGAGGTGTAAGGGAACACAACAAGTCTACTGGATTTGTGCTGGCATACTCTGATTTTAATTGGCTGATGCATCAAGTTCTATCTTTAAGCAATCCTGGCAACATATGCTTTTGTCAGAATATTTTATCTAATTTCTTTGAATTGTAATAATAGATTTTGAGTTCATGCTCAGCGCTACCACTTGGTCTTTGACCTAGTCTTTACAAAAGATACTGTTGTAAAAATTTTAAATTCTGAATTTGTGCATGCTACTTTACAAGAACATCTCCGTGGTATCTGAGCTGCCAATACATCAGTGACATTCCCAGACACCTGGAGATCATTCTGCAATCCAGGACACTGAACTGTGGTGCCAACATTTCACACCTTACCGCAAATATATCTATACACCGGTACTACGAAGTCTATTTTAATTCCATGCTGCTTCTTTATAACCTGTGTACATCCAGTGCTTTGGCCCAGGCCATAGGAGATGAATCTTGCTGTTCATTCTATCAGTGATTTGTTTTATGAGCATTCTCTATGGATTTGCTTTCTCACAGGTCAGCCAGCATTTCTGACTGGATTGAATAAAGATCCTAAAATTTCTCGAGAGCCAATGTAAAATGTCCAGTCTCTTCATTAGTTAATTGATATTGACAGTGAATGCTTTTGCACATTCGGTGATCTTCCCATTGAATAATTCAATTTTAAAGGCTTTCATGAACATTACTTAGTAGCAATCTCTACCTATTGCTATGGCAGAGGTGACAGGCTATGGCACACTGATAGGCATGGAAGCTGATCTCACTTTGGAATAAATATAAACAAGAATGAAACCTTTCCTTGGAGTCTGAACTGTGAAATAATAGAAGCTGCCCAAAGCACAGGCAGTAGAGATGAGACAGGTTTTTTTGAGACTGTAAATTAAGAGGCCTGAGAATGGAAAAAAAAACAGTGTCCAGAAGTGCAAAGAAAGATGCCGTCCAAAAAACCATTAATGACAAGAAAACCACAAAGATATTGGATAAGCTGATGTTTGAAAAGACCACAGGGCTTGGCTCTAAAAGCAAGGACATTGCCAAACAGGCCTGGAGCTGCCAAACCTTTTGTGCCAAAGAAATTCTTGGCTATCATCGATTTTGTCTCTAATGGAAATAATCAAAGGTGAAAAAGGGCAGCAGCACTCTTTAAGCTTGTAAATCACCTACATAGGCCAAATTAATAGGCACAGAATTATTCTGAGAAGTCAAAAAGGTTTTATAACACCATGCTCGTAGTACCTGGTGCTTCACTTCCCTCAACAAACCAGTGAGACATTGCAAAGGACAAGATCTCAGCTCTGGCACTGAACATGGAACCTCATGAGCAATCATGCATGAAAAGCGAGGAAGCGATGTCTGGGATCCTCCAGGGTCCCCAGGCATTGCCGCTTCGCTGTAGATATCATATCACCTCTCACTTCCCCCAGAGTATTTCATAAGAGTACTGACTGTCCGTCACAGCAGTTTAAGTCCCACATCCTTACACGGGGGAAAAATAAATTGATATAATATTGTGCTCTCCTAAGTACAAAACTTGATGTGCTCAAGAATACCTGCTCAGCCCCTCGGTGGGATTTGCCTGGTGTGTGGGGGTGCCTCCTCCACAAGCAGGGAAGTTTACAGTATGGTCACAGAAAACGGGTTGTTGCAAAGCTAGACCGCTGTGCTGGGGCATGTCAACTTATCTGCATTACCTGGCTGCACGCACAATGTCGTCCCACGGCAGATGCAGGTGGAAAGCATGGGAGGAAAAGGGTAGCAGCATTTATCAAAGGAGAACACCGAATAGACGGCGTCAAACCCACACCCTCGCTTAGCTCACAGCACTGCCCTCCTGTAGCCGTGCCTTAGACAGCAGCATTCACTGCATATAGAAATGTAAAAACATACACAATTAGACACACTATGGTCCATTTTAGACCTCAAATAGATTGCAAAAAAAAAATAGTATAACAACAAAATATTAAAAATAATAATATAATAACAAAATACTTCTCTGACTGGCAAAGATCAGGAAATATTTACATGCAATTTCTATCTGAATCGACACATTCCCTGAAATGTTACTTTGACAGCCCTGTAACCGCATTAGAACAGAAAACAATAGTCATTAGTAAAGTCTATCTGTCCTAATGAAAATCAAATTAAAAGATCATATTAGGTTTGCCACCGTGAGGCTCAGAGAACTGGATGGAGTTAAATTGTTCCCATCTGCTGGGATAAACAAGAAGATCCAACGACGGTGGGCTTTGCTGCGTAGAGCTGATCCTGCATCACACACC